TAAAAGTAAATTTTAAGTAGAATATTTTAATTTTCTTTAGACATAATAGTATAAAATCCACTCCTATTTCATACAAATTGTGTAAAATCTTCTATTATTTAAAAATTGCGTCAAATTCTCTTATTATTTTAAAAATTTGTATTTAACAACTTTTTCTGTCATTAGTTAACAATGACTTAGTAGTTATAAAATTATAGAATTATCTTCACATTTAGGATAAATGTAGAACAATCATCATTAACTAATAACAGAATGAAGCTTAAATGAAAATTTTCTGAAACTATAAAAAGAGTTTAATGCAGTCTCAAAATAATAAAAGATTTCGCGTAATTTTTATAATTTATACGTGAATTTTATATTTTTTTTTATTAGATAAGAGTTCAATAATAATAATAATAATAACTAATAACAAAATTAGATGAAAATCACCATATGAATGCTATCCAATTTCAATTGACTAGGAATTTGTTTATTCAATTTATTTTTGGATGACATAATGTTTTATAAAAATTATAAAAACCTACAATATATATTAATACACTATATATAATATTTCCTCCGTCTCAAACATCGTGCAACATTTTCTTAAATAATTAATTATACTTAATCTCTACCTTACATTATCCCATCACATCACCTAAATAAAAAAATAAAATATACATTTCTCTCTTAATAACATCACCTAATTTCTAAATTATTCTACTTAATACTATTCACCTGAAAATCCGTGCCCAAACCAAATGTTGCACCTTATTTGGGACGGAGGGGTAATATTTTATTCGTCTACAAAAAATTAATAATTCAATATAAAATATTATACTTTATATTATCGATACAATTTTTTATACCAAAAATAAAAAACACATTTTTTCAAAAAATACAAAACTAAATAATTAATGTGAAGATGCAGGTGGGACAGACGAAATATCGAGATTGAGCGACAAGAAGAAAAAAGATGAACAGGAAAATAATGGTCCAGAGTTGGCCACTACCACTCACTCCAGTTCGGATGACCTTTCGCAGCTCCCGGAAGACTGGGCTTATTAATTAATTAATTAATTATTTTAATTTAATTGTGTCAATTTGTATTCAAGTAAGAAGGATGTTAATTGGACGGAATCAATATATATTAGAAGATATATTAAAATATGCATAAATATATGTTCGGTCGTCTGTAATATGTGCTAATTCAATTAAATCAATACCATACTGATTTGGTCAGATCAACACAAAATTTGCAACCATAAGTATATATATATATATATATACTTAATGAGGTAGAAGGAGGAATGTAGGGTTGAGATAATAATGAAGTTGAGAAAAGGAATGAAGATTTTTTTTGTCATTTTAAATTGAAAGTAAAAATATTTATTTTGCACAATTTTTAAAAATATACTATTTTCGTTCGGCTCTAAGGATTTTATTTATTTTTTTGCATGTTGATCTTTGAATATTAATTATTATATTAAACCGTACTACAAATTAAGAAAAAATTGTAAAAATACTTTCATTAGTGTCTTATATTATTAATAGAATGACACGTGGACAAAAAATTATATAAATATAAGGATATTTTTAATATTAAGTATAATGACATAAAAAGGTAAATGTGACCCTTAGAGACGTACAGACGGAAGGACTATTATTCCCTCCGTCCAATAACAAACTATCCATTTTTTTATTTTAGTCCGTCCCATAACAAAGTATCTATTTTCTTTTTTAGTAACTGTATTGTCTATCTAATATTACAAATACCCTTACAACTTATAATATATTACACAAATATCATTACATTTATATTACATAGAGTTATAACCAAGCCGAACAGAGCCGAGCTTGTCATGTTTGAGCTCGGCTCGTTAAGGACTCGAGTTCGGCTTGTATTCGTTCGTTAAGATATATGAGCTGAAATTTTTGTTTGAGCTCGGCTCGTTTAACAATTTTTTTGTTCGTATTCGGCTCGACTCGGCTCGTTAAAAGAAATTTTATTTTCTTTATTTACTTTTTTTTAAAAAAATTAATTTAATTAATAATAATTATAATTTTTATCAATAAATTTGAATAAAGAATAGAATGAAATATAATATTTATAAAGATATATATATATACTTATTAAATATAAAAATTTTAATAAATACTATCAAACGTTCGCGAACAAGCTCGAGTTCGTTCGTGAATATAATGAGCCAAAATTTATGTTTGTGTTCGGCTCGTTTAACTTAACGAACAAGCTCTTAGCGAGCTCAAACGAGCCGAGCTCGCGAAAAATTCGTTTGTTTTACAGCTCTAATATTACACAATACTAATAAGGTTATTTTAGTTATTCTATCTTATTTTTACTACATCCCAATATAATACTAATATTTCTAAAATTCCGTACAAAAAACAAAAAAATATATAGTTATAAGACGAAAGAAGTATATTAAAATACTCTTTAAGAAAATTCAAATCAACGTCATAGGCCGCACAAAAAACTAAACGATCAGTAAAACGCTTAAAACAGATGACATGGCTCCATATATCACATGTATATTGACGTGAGTGTCGAAATACATAAATGAAAGGGCGGTCAGCTTATGAGCAGCTAATTTTTAGTATTTGGTTGAAAATTTCAAATTAAATTGACATGGAGGACAATTCTTGATAATTAATGGAGCTAGGCAAAAGGACAACGAGGCTTCTAAATACGTACTCACTCCCTCCGTTCCAATTCAAAGTATTATTTTTATTATTTTCGTTCATCTCACTCCAAAATATTTCGTTTTTATTTTTAGTAAAAATAATCATACACCAATACCAAAATACTTTTAATTTTTACCTAAATTACAAACATACCATTACACGTGTATATTACACGTACAATTACTTTTTTATATAAAGTCAAAGGGCAAAAATATCAAAATCTCTTACACACTTCCACTAACTAATAAAATATTGAAGATATTATACAATTATATAATTGAATACAAGTCAGTTATTCTAATTAATAGAAGAAATTGAGATGATAGAAAGAAATGGAATCTCGAGTCTCGTATTACACGCAAATTTTCTTAAACGAATTCGGTCCACCAACAATGGCCGCCCAACGAAAAAACAAATTGATCAAAATTTGCAGCGAACCAAATTAGGAAACAAGAATTGGAGAGATTTTTTATTTGAGAAGATCGACATTGAAGGAATTAGGGTACGACAAAATTTTTGTGAAAAAAATTACTTTATCTGTCTGCCAAATTTATTCTCACTTTTCTTTTTAGTTCGTCCTCTGAATTTACCCTATTACTAATTTTGGCAAAGTCAACAAATTAATATTTAACTATTACACTTCATTCAATATTTGGCGGCAATTACAGCTTTTAAAATTCAGCACAATGCTAACAACACATAGCGTGTTAACAAACAACAAACAGTACGCGATATTACTACAGATAATACATTATATATATTAATGAATTCGGATTAGTTGCTGAAAACTTATTTTCAGCACCATGCTGAAAATTAATTTTAGTTGTCGGATCTTGGAGAAAGATGAGTTAGATGATGATGATGAGCTAGATTGTGTTGGTAGTGGCAATATGGAGACGGACGGAGATAGTATTATTTTCTTTCACAATACAACCCAACATTTATAAATAAAATAAAAATTCAATCTACTTTAAAAAAAAAAAAATCCATCAAGGATTTGTTTAGATTTGATTTGAAATTAAAAGTTCATTTAAATTTTGTGTTATCTTATAAGAAAAAATAATATATTTTTATCAAATATAATACATAATAAATAGTATTCCCTTCGTCCGACTTTAAGGGTTCATTTATCTTTTTCGTTATTATACTTAACATTGAAAATATCCTTATATTTGTATAAATTTTTGTATAAACGTCATTATAATAGTATTATAAGACATTAATAAAACTATTTTTACCATTTTCTCTTAATTTGTACTACATTTTTATATAATAATCAATATTCAAATATCAACACGCAAAAAGTAAATGAGACTCTTAAAATCGGACCAATATAGTATTAATTTGTGTTCGAAATATAAGCCAAACATATATCTCAAATACACTTTAACATGACTCAACCAATAATGCGTGGGTTTCCCATTATTTTTGGATAAGGTTGTTGGAGATGGAAAAGGAAAGAAAACTACCTTTATGCACATATTCATTGAAATCAATTAATTAATTGATGTGAAAAAGAGACATTTAAAGTAAATGCTTATAAATTGAGGGTGGCCAGGAGCCCTCTCAATTATATATATTTATTATTTAATTTTCATATTTTTTTATAAAAATATATTTATATTATCAAATATTACCGTAAAATTATTATTCACATTAAAATTTAAAATTAAAATAAAATCATCAACTAAAACATATCGAACTTATTACAATACGTTACTCTCTCTATCATTTAAATTTCTATTTATTTTTTTTCTTTTTAGTAAAAAAATAAATAATTTTATCTATTATTTTACTATATAAACTTTATATTTTACCATTTTTTAAAAAAAATTTACATTCGGTCAAATGGATATAAATTACTCACTAAATGGGATAGGATTTTATTTTTTATTTTCTATTTTCACTTTCCATATGACAAAAAATTATAAAATTTGTGTGGGCAGCCAAATTAAAACTTGTGGAATTATAAGGAAAATCAATAAAATTTGATGATATATATCCTTAATTATTGTTTATTAACGATTTCGTGCAATGATAATTGACTGTTTTTCTTACATATATTGTTTAATTTCTATATTATAAAACATATTTTGTTTTTTTATTTTCTTTCAATGCTAAAATTGTTCTTCAACATCTTATAAAAAATAGAAATAAAAAAATGCATGTATATTTATATACACACTCATACAATACATTAGTAAAATTAATAGTGATTCAAAAAATGATTAAATAAACAACCATCCCAATAAAAGCCCGAACTATTAGGGAAACGGTGTAAGTGGAGGTATACACATGCATATGCCGCAAATGAGAACGAGTCATGAAAACGTACGTAGCCATTAATTATGTATCTGGAAACGGAAATCTCCAACAAGTTGAAACACACATACACAACTTGAAACCAAAAAGATTTTGTCCCAAAAGTTTAACAAAGAGAAGGGCAACAAACATTCGACCCCCTTTTTCAACAATTACTATTGTGAGAAAAACCCTTGTCCGAGCCATTGTCTTTTTGCAAAACACCACTACCAAACACGAAGAACCCGAAAGCATGCCCCGCAACCGCAACAATAAGAACGCCAACGTTGAACGACATGATTGCAAGCATCACGAGATATGCCAACGCCACTCTTGCACCATACAAAATCGTTCGAATCAAGCAATTGCAAAGCTTGTTGTGCCCCGAATCTTCGCCCTTTATCCTCCCACAACAAGAAGAGAGCCACTCCACGAGGATTGAAATCACAAAGACAACTATAAGGGCCACGGCGTACATCCCTGTGCGGGTCCCGGGCCATCCCGAGAAGAGGATCTCGGAATTTTTGCCCCAGTAGAAGGTCATGTGAGTCATCGTGGTCGATAAATCGTGTATGTGTTGGGCTCCATTCGCCGGTGTCATGGTTGTGTGAGGCGGAGGCGACAACATTTGCATCCCGGGCATGTTGTCCATTATTAGGGTTAGGGTTAGGGTTAGGGTTTTTCTCTTAAAAAAAAATAATAAAAATTATATAGCAACAGCTGAATCCACAAATAGAATTAGGGTTAGGGTTAGGGTTAGAGTTTAGGGTTTAAGGTTAGGGTTTAGGGTTTGGGATAGTGTGAGATAAGTTGTTGCAAGAATGTGAGGAGTATGAAACAACAAAAGGATGAAATATATATGTGTGGTGGGTGCAAAAATTGTGTACTACCAAACATTGGTTGTACTACATTAGTGTGTATTGACAAAGTCATGTGCTTACAATGTATGATGGGGACAAATTATTTTTCATAATTGAGTTAGTGATACAATGTTGTTTTTAACCATTAATATATTGCTTTTTGTTTACCCCGCCTATTTTTTTAGAATTGCAACATTTTTCATAACTATTATAAAAAAGAAAAAAAAATACAATATACAATATAACACTATATATATATATATATTAATATATACTATGTTTACCTACAAAAAATTAATACTTTAATGCAAATTTTATTTTTAATATTATCAACATTATTTTCCTTATCTAATATAAAATATAGATTCATCTAAAAATACAAAGTGAACATACTTAATGTGGATATATATATACATATATGAAAGTAACGTTGAGTTTTGTATGTTCTTTATATATATATATATATATAAATATAAAAGATGTTAGATGTAACATTTTTTGAGAAATTATATAATTCAAGCAATAAAATCAAATAGAACAAAATATCTTATTCTGATGTATGTAAATTGAAAAAATAAAAATGATCATTTATATGAAAAAATATGCATATTGACTGTGACATTTAAGAGAAGAAGTATTAATATGAGGAAATAAATAAAACACATAGCTAGGTGAATTCACTTGCTTACTATTTTTTTTCCCCTATGCTTAAGTTTCTAGTATTTAGCTCACATAATTTTATTTACAATTATATTGTTTTATCTCATAAAATATTACAATTAAATTCAATTAAATTAAAATAAATAAAATACCAACTAAATATACATAAATCATGAACTATATTAATTGTAAAATGTTTGTTCTTTTGAAGTTTAATTTAGTTTTTACTTGAAATGTAACTTAATTAATATGATGTTTTCAATATATATATATATATTACTTGATCTGTTCTTAATAATTTATTCATATTTTATATTTTTGTATATTTCACATATATTTTTTTAATAACTATATATTTTAATCGTATTATATTAATTAAATTATAAATTATGAAATTTATAATACAATTAAAATGTATAATTATTTATTTATTATACTTTGTTTAAATTCTCGTATTAAAAAAAATTGGACAACAAAGATGAAAAAAAAAAGAAAAGAAAAGAGTATATTTTTATAAATAAAAATAGAAGCAAAAGCACTAATATTTGCATAATAAAAAATTAAAACTAAGTTTGAAAAGAATAGAATCAATAATTAATTATTATTAATTACATTTTATTTCTCTAAGATAATAACATATAATTATATATGTGTGTGTACTATATGGTGTAGTACACCTTTTGACAAAATGACAATTCTTTGGATTGCATGGATCACCCCTTTTCTACTTTTACTACTTATAATAAAAACATACAAGTTGGAAAGTCTACCATCTGTTTAACCAAAAATAATGCATGCTTTTGCCCATTCCTCCCTTTGTTTGGACCGCGTTTAAAAACAGTAAAATAATAATAATAAATAAATAAATAATATTTTTCATGTCATTTTAATGAATGACTTGATATTTAAGGTAATATAAAGATATATTTTACAAAAATATTGTTGTGTTTTAGTCGGTGATCTTCGTTTCACCAAGTCACCCCCATAATAAGAGTCTGCATAGCCAACTAGACGATCACCATAGCCATTATCATCATATACCAAACAAATATCTGACGCTCCTTTCAAATATCGCAAGGTCCACTTTACAGCTTCCCTGTGAGCTTCACCCGAATTAGCCATAAACCTGTTCTCCACACTAACCGCATAAGCGAGATTCGGTCTCGTACATACCATCGCATACATAAGACTTCTAACTGCACTTGAATATGGAACCGTTTTCATGTAGCTAACCTCTTCATTTGTAGCCTGTATAATGCTTCGATCAAGTTTAAAGTGTGCCGCCAAAGGGATACTTACCAGTTTGGACTGATCAACAAAGAATGACTGCAAAACTTTCTCAATATACTTTTCTTGAGAAACCCATAGCCGTCATGTTTCTCTATCACGTCAGATCTCCATAACTAGTATTTTCTTGGCCGCACTCAAATCCTTCATCTCAAACTCACCATTTAGTAGAGCCTTCAAGTCACTAATTACAGCTATGTTTTTAGCTACAATTAACATATCACCCACATACAACAGCACATACACAAAGAAATCACCAGAAACTTTCTTCAAGTAAACACAGTTATCAAATTGATTACGAGTATAGCCATTAGACACCATGAAAGAATCAAGTCTCTTATACCACTGTCTCGGAGATTGCTTCAAGTCATATAGAGATTTCTTTAACAAGCATACCTGGTCCCCTTTAGAACTGTCGAACCCCTCCGGTTGAGACATGTAAATTTGTTCTTCTAGATTACCATGAAGGAATGTTGTTTTTACATCAAGCTGCTCCAGCTCCAAATCAAAAGCACCCACCATTGCCAAAAGAACCCGGATGATTTTGTATTTCACCACAGGAGAAAAGACTTCATGGTAATCGATTCATTCCTTCTGTGAGAACCCTTTTGCCACCAGTCTCGCCTTGAATCTAGCAAGTTCAACACCAGGAATTCTCTTCTTTCTTTTAAAGACCCACTTACATCCCACTAGCTTCACCCCTTTTGGTAGTGCAACAAGATCCAAAGTCTTGTTCTTTTCAAGAGACTGCATCTCTTCATTCATTGTCATAATCCAGGTTTCTGCATCTTTACTCGCTACGGCTTCTTTATATGTCTTTGGCTCATCAGAGCCAAGATCATCACCAACCGTTAGTGCATAAGCCACAGAATTCATGTCAGATGTATTGACACATCCTGCAAACCTAGCTGGTTTCTGAATATTTCTCTTTCCCTTTCTTGCTGCTATGGAATCTTCAACCCCAGTACCAGCGTCATCAGCTTCCCCCTCAACCGGTTTTCCTTGAGATTTTGACTGATCTGGTTGATCGGATTGATCAATAGTATTATCCTGATGCTCTTCCTCTAAGGGTGTCTTTGTTTGAGGGATTGAATTTTTTTTCCACTATTCATCCAATTTTTTCCCCCCAAAAACATCAAATCAAACACCTATTTTTCATTTTTTATATTATACTAAAAATCAATTTTACATTCAAAACATCTCACATCAACACCTATTTATATCACATCATACAACTATTCAAATTCAAAATTTTTACTATTCAAATCCCAACTCAAAATCCAAACCTCCAAACAAACACACTCTAACACAACTCTGTCAGGAGTCTCAAAATCCACCCTCTGGTCAGCACCACAATCTTTTGTACCTACAATACTTTCACAACCTTTACTCTGATCAAGCATAGCAGATTCATCAAAGGTTACATATCTGCTAATAAGAAATTTACCAGGATTTTTACCTTCTGTACACCACAGTCGATAAGCTTTTACTCCTGTTGCATACCCTAGAAATATGCATTTTACGGTCCTCGGCTCCAGCTTACCATCATTCATATGAGCGTATGCAGGGCATCCAAATATTCTTAGATTAGAGTAATCAGAGGGTTTATCGGATCATACCTCTTGAGGAGTCTTTAAGTCAATTGCAGTTGATGGAGATCTATTAACCAGATAGTTAGAAGTGTTAAATGCTTCAGCCCAAAATTGCTTAGATAAGCCAGCAAATATGCGCATACACCTAGCACGCGCCATGAGGGTTTGGTTCATTCGCTCTGCAACTCCATTTTGTTGTGGTGTGTGTCGTACAGTGTGGTGCCTCACTATACTTTCTTTCTTGTAGAAATCATCAAATGGAGCGTTGCAGAACTCCAACCCATTATCAGTTCTTAGAGTCTTGACCTGTTTACCCGTCTGTTTTTCAACCATAGTCTTTCACTCCTTGAACTTCCCAAACACCTCATCATTAGTCTTCAGAAAGTACAATCAGACTTTTCTCGAATAATCATCTATGACAGTGACAAAGTAAGAACACCCGCCCTGCGATTTCACCGGAGAGGAACTCCATAGATCTGAATGAATAAACTCCAAAATTTCTTTTGAAGTGTGATGACCGGTACTAAATCTCACCTTGTGTTGCTTCCCTTTTACACAAGCCTCACATAATTGAATTATACCTATCACATCCCCACCAAATCAACCCTGCTTGCTCAACATAGACAACCCTAGCTCACTCATGTGACCTAATCAAATGTGCCATAAATTTGTCATGTCATCATGTTTATCCAAGGACTGGGATACTGCCGCCGTTCCCATCTGAACTGCCCTGTAGAAAATAAATTTCATGCTGCAGTTTTCCCTTCATTATTACCAGAGCACCTTTCAAGACTTTCACCCATTCACCTTCACTATGATATTTTAAACAATTCTTGGCTAAGGTGCCAAAAGAAATCAAATTCTTTCTGAGTTCAGGAACATACCAACAATCCAATTTCCTGGCAGTACCGTCATGCAATTTTATCTGCACTATCCCGCTCCCTTTTATGTCTAGAACCCCATCATCAACTAACTTCACCGTTCCATTCCATTCCTTAAAAGAAGTGAGTAGATCACGAGAGAACATCATATGATGAGAAGCACCGGTATCCATAATCCAGGAATCAGCAGTACTAGCACTACACACTGTCAGAACTTCACCAAAGTCACCATTATCAAAACTGTCTTGTACCACAGCAGCGCTGCTGCCACTGTTACTAGAATCAACTTTTGTATTTCCCTTTTTTTGTGGACAATCATTTTTAATGTGTCCCTTCTCTTTGCAAAGATAACACTTAACTTTGCTAGAGGATTTTGATTTTGAACGGGACCTCCCATTCCCATTACCCTTCTCCTGTGGTCTTCACCTACCTGCAAACAGACCTGAACCAGAGCTTTCTTTCAGAGAAACCTTTCTTTTCAATTCTTTGGACATAACGGCATCTTTCACATCATTAACAAAAATTGTAGTTCTACCAATAGCATAGTATATACAAA